GGCTTGAAGTATAAGAGGATTGAAGTGTAGAGGAGCTGGTGGATCTGACTCTTCTGCTTATTGGCATCATTTTGAAGGTAACAAGTCGTTATCTTGACTTTCCACCTTTTAGATCTCTTTATGCTTGAGATTAGGGCCATTTTAGCTTGTTTGGTGTTTCATTTCGGGTATTGAACATGATCTGAAGTTGCAACTTCAGATCTAGACTAATCTTGGTTCTTATGGTCATAAAGTTTCAGCCTTTAGCAAGATAATCCCTTATCCTCACTTAGAACCTCTTATCTAGATTGATTTTGGCCATTAACACCTTGCATGTACGTAAAGTTTGCAACTTTACGTAGGAAGTATGCTCTAGGAACTCAGATCTGCAATATGGAGCTTTGGGGTGGCTTATAAGCATCTGAATGGAGAAAGTACTGAAGAGACTCGACGAGTTGCATGGCCAACTCGGCGAGTCCGATGAAGATTAGCCTTGAAGGCATCTGCATGAACTCGGCGAGTCAGTAGGATGACTCGACGAGCCAATTAGGGTTTTCCCGACTTCTGGACACGCCTAGACTCAAAGAGTTGGTCGTAAACTCGGCGAGTCAGTAAGGGTTTTATGACCTTCTGAACCCTTAAGGAACTCGACGAGTTGCTAGCTGCAATCGACGAGTTGGGTCAACATGGATTGTTGACTTTGACCGTTGACTTTGACTTGGACCAAGGGTTGACCAGTTTGACCTCTGGGGGTATTTTGGTAATTTGGGAATTTATGGAATGGACCATTGGTGATTATAGGTGTTGGTGTTCGGAACTATATTTGGAGGAGTTGACAGTACCATTCCGAGCTACTTGTGAGGTGAGTTCTCCTCACTATATGAACAGGGTCTAAGGCACCAATGACGGCCCTTATCGGATTCGTATCCGGGTTTATTGCACGATATGCTTATTGATTTACATCCTGATAGTTAGAATGATGATATGCTTAATGACCTGGTTAGGTCGGTATCCTTGTATATAGTATGATGCTATGCTAGTGACCTGTTTAGGTCGGTATCCTGGTATATAGGATGATGTTATGTTAGTGACCGGTTAGGTCTGTATCCTGGTTATAGGATGTTGCTATGATTGATGATCTGTTAGATCAGTTGACTGTTATGTATGCTAGCGTATGATATTATGTGCACATGTTTGTTGATTGGGGGCTGGGTTGAGGCGGTCCTGCTTTGTGCTGAAGGCCAACATACCCAGGGCGGTCCGGATAGACTATAGGACTAGGAGGGCATGTCAGTCATACCGAAGCCCCGACGAGCGGCCCGTATAGGCTGTAGGCCCTGTGAGGCGGTCCAGACGTGTCGAAGGCTCGGAGAGCGGTCCAGATAGGCTGAAGGCCTGCGAGGCGGACCAGTCAGGCCGATGGCTCATTACGCATGTTGTTAGTTATATGTTATTGATATGTTTATGGCATTGGTATTTTGGGGGTAACTCACTAAGCCTTCGAGCTTACATTTATCGATTATTGTTTTAGGTACTTCTGATGATCGCGGGCAGGCGAAGGCGTGATCGTACCGCTCCTCATATCTTATGATTTTATGATTTGATTCTGGGATACTCTGACATTACACTATTTTGAAAACAAGTTTTGTAATAATCATGGGTTTTGAAATGTTTTAAAAAGTTCAAATTTGGCATAATTTTTATGGATGTTACATGCAAAGTCATAAAGTTGAAAACTTTAAGACTCTTAGTGGTATTTTAGCCTTGGATCTGAAATTTAGACGTGAGAGCTTAATGCATTAAGATCTTATTGAGAAAAGAAGATTATGAGCGTACGTCGTACGTACCCCAGCGTACACCGCGTGTACGTGGTCAACCTCCCGACTCCAGTCAAATCCCGAGTACGCCCATCGTAGGAGCTGAGTACGCCCCACGTACTCAGCTGAGTGGACCAAGTTGACTGTTGACCTTGACTATTGACTGTTGAATTTGACTTTGACCAGGGTTGACCAAGTTTGACTTAAGGGGCATTTTAGGTATTTTGAGCTATAGTTAAGCCTTGGTCTCTACCTGTTGAATATGTGACCTGTAGAGCCGGTATTCAGAGTAGAGCAGTGTATTGTTCAGCTACTTGTCAGACTGAGAGGTGAGTTTCCTCACTGTTCTTGTGGGTCGAAGGCACCAATGTCGACCCCTTTAGTTATGTATCCTGGTATATATGATATTTCTATACGGTAGTGATTTGTAGATATGCCTTCTAGTCTGTTAACTGGTTATATGATTATCCGTTGCTGAATATATGTTAATCGTTATGTATATATCGACATGGTATGGTGAGGTTGAGACTGTACTGCTTTGTGCTGTAAGTCAACAGACCGGGGCATTCCAACCGGAAGGTTGTGGGCCGAGGGTAATCCAACCAGGAGGTTGTGGATCTGTTATATATTGGGCAAGCCAACCGAGAGGTTGTGGGCCGGGGCATTCCAACCGAAAGGTTGTGGGCCAGGGGTAATCCAACCAGGAGGTTGTGGACCCGTTATCTGTTTGATTATATGTTTGTGTGGTGGTACTTTGGGGAAACTCACTAAGCTTTGGCTTACAGTTTTAGTTTATGGTTTCAGGTACTTACGAGGATCGTGAGAAGATGAAGGCGTGATCGTATACAACTTCCTGTTTTATGTATATGGGTCTTGGGGAAAACTCTGATTTGAAATAATACTTTTGAAACAATGTATATTTTTGTAAACAATGATGATGAATGATTGACTATTTTTGAAAATTTTAAATTATTGTGATTTTTGAGTGTTACATGATCGGGTGATGGTAGTGGTGTTATCTAAGGTGACTACCGTCATCGTTGGGTGGAAAAGGTTGGTGAGTTTCTGTCCGACCTACGATGAAGATGTTTTGTGTTGATCCCGACGATTTTCGATGATGAGAGACAACATATTTGCGTGTTCTGACGACTTTGTGGTAAAACTAATAAAATAAAAAATAATTGATAGTATACATTAAAAATAAACTAATAATCTAAGAATCCAGCAAAATAGTATTTATTATATAAAGAAAATAGTAAATTAAAAGTAATAATCAAATAAAAAAAAGAATTATTTCGAAAAAGAAATTAAAAAAACTTAACAAAAGAAATTAATAACCCAATAATGTAATATTTATTAGGATATACATATTATATATTAAAAATAATACTTTTTAATATATACTAATCTAATAAAAAAGAATTACTCCAATAAAAAATTAACTAAAATAAATTAATAATAATAATAAAAATATTTATTAATATATAAATATTATACATAAAAATAATATTTTTTTCATATATAATAATCCAATTAAATAATCCAATAACAAAGAAATTAAAAGATTTTAATTAAAAAAAAGTTAATAATCTTATAAAATAATATTTATTAGTATATAAATATTATATATTAAAAATAATATTTATTAATATATAATAAATCAAGAAATTTAAAAAGAAGATATGTTGAAATGGTCCTTGTAGTTTCGTTGTAGAAATAGTCCCTGAGGGTAAAAAAATCATTTTATAAAAGTTAACAGTCTAGTTGTTAAAGTTAACATAAGAGGGGCCAAAACCACAACAAAACTGGTTGAAAATGACCATATCTGTAACTTTTCAAAGGTTTAGACCTTAACCACATAAAATGAGAAACCACAGGGACTATTTTTGCAATTTTGTAGATTAAAACAACAGTTTTTTTTTTTGAAACAACATATATATGATTTATGAACAACGAGGCTTGAATCCTCGACCTCAAGGAATGAGAGCAACACCGGATACCGTTAGGCTAGAAGCCATTTGGTTTAAAACAACATTCAATACAATTTACCAAACAACCCATGACATGAGATTTCGTGGGATTTTGAGCCATCAATGAGAATGGGAGGGCTCGGGTTGGGTCCCACAATCCCACCCTATTTGGACATCCTTATTTGAAACATCCTATTCCAGTGATTTCTTATTTTCTTTTAAGTAATGTATGCTCGATATGAATACAAAAGATATAATAACACAACAATCTTACCCTTTTTAGTTCAATGATGTAGAACATTATATACGCTAAAAGATATATTTTGGATGATCTGAACCAAACAGTTAACTTGTTTTCTTTCTTGGTAAATTTTCATATTACCCTTTTAATCCACTAAAGATTAAATATAATTTGAATGGATTATTTATGATTTATGAAGAAACTTCTAGAAATTATGAATCTAACCTTATGCATTCATACTTGGTGTGCGTTTATTTCACAAGCAATGATCGTATTCTAACATAATAACTAATTAAGTTTCATTAATCTTTAATAATCTTGAATATACAATAACTAATGGATACAATGTTAAAACACTCAACATAAAAATCAATCAAAATGTATGCTTAAACGATAACCCTATATACTTTCCATCATAAAACATTAATTTGTGATCCACGATATAAGTATCTTCCAATAAAAATCAAAATGAAAATCCACACATACACATGCATGATGCATGCCATAAACCAAAATATAAATTAATACAATATTACAATATAATATCCTCTTGCCTTACACCCCTCGTTTTTTATAAATTTATTTTTTGAACATGAGATATTATTCTATTTGTTACGAGTTTCTTTTATCCATCCTACAACCATATACATGTTTTTTATTTCTTAAATCCAAATTAAAAGGATTGAATTTACTAAGTAAAGACCAAGCCCAAAGCTTAACTGTCCATTCCAAGTTCACACATAAACGAGTCAAAACTTCAAAAAAAAAAAAAAAAAATCGATTCCCATTACATATTATATATATATTTACACTTGTGTTCGATCTCAAAGGCCAACCCAAGCCCTTTCTCACCCATAAAACACCATTCGGTTGTATGTATCCGTATTCCATGATATATCTATCTGCATCAAAAAAAAAAAAAAAAAAAAACATGACATTTCCATGTGAAAAGATTAATGATAACATGAAATAGAAATTAATTAGTAAAGTATGTTACCATTGTTGGTTTTTCCTGAATTCAGTCAGCACAGGGTATATGTTCTCAAATGCAGTGTAAGTCTCATCCCTAACCTGAAAATGAACAATAATATAATAAAATATAAGGATTAAGGATTCAGAAAGGGCAATTAAATATAAAAAATTAAATATGAAAAAAAATGACCTTAGCTCCAGTAAGAACAATTTTGCCAGAAACGAAGATAAGCAGAACAATTTTCGGTTGTTTCATTCGATAAATCAATCCCGGGAACAGTTCTGGTTCATACTATATTAACAATCACATGTTACTAGAGGAACATATGAAATAGTGGGCTAAATTTGTCTTTTTCTCAAACATAAAATGAGGGAAGATTTATATTATCAATCTTACACTTGAAAAGGCACCATGAGAGTATGCAAGGCCTTCAAGTCTAATGGGAAATTTAACATCACATGACCCAACAATGTTCTGAATCTTGAAATCCTATATTAAAAAAAGAAAAAGACACAAGAACATAATAAAATATAAATGAAACATTAACTAAAAGCAGAGACTTATAAGATGATGATGATGATGATGATGATGATGATGAATACCTTAAACTTGGCTGGAAACCCGAGTTTCTGAATTATTCGAGCATACTAAAGCACCAACATTAGGAAATATTATAATAACAAAATTAAGAGTAGTGTTTCATTTCATGATTATGGCATAAAACTTATATTGATATTATACTCTCTTAAAATACCTTCCGTGCAGCCAGTTTTGACTGCTGTTCACTCTTGGCTCCTGTACAAACCTGAAGCAGCAACACATTAATTCTAGCTAAAAAAAAAGATAAACCATTTAGATTTAGGGAAAAAAAGTCAAAAACAAGTTACCATCTTCCCAGAAGCAAAGATTAGAGCTGTTGTTTTTGGTTCTCTTATCCTCATGATAACAGCAGCAAAACGCTGAATAACAATATAATACAAATATATCACCTTTCTAAAATCTCCTATAAGTTATACATGCCACCAAGAAATTTAGTACCCTTTAAAGTTCCACAACTTTTCCTAAATATTATTTGATCCATATATACATTGCAAAATGGGAAAAATATGACAAGTATTCTAATCAAAGAACTAAAGATGCTAAACTCAATGCAAGATTTCTATTCAAGTATAATATAAAAAGGCCACTATGTATTATAGTATGTGGTATGTGCATACATATTACATAATGATAATAATACCTTTGGATTATATTCTGCATTTCGAGCTTGAAGTGCAATTGCCTTCAGGTCTAGCTTGCAATCCAGATTGACAGTAGACACGATGTTCCTATATGTACAGAATACAGATGCTAAAACTTTCAGTTCAAATATTATATATATATTTTTTGTATTTCTAGTCTTTATTTTCAACATCGAATCCCATTACCTCTTTTAATTAACACTTTCATATATTTTGAACTAATAATTGCATACATAGTTACAAACCCAACAGATTCACAAACAAAAAACTACATACAAACAATCGTATGAAACCTGAAATTCTAAAATTGAACAATTTCTATGGGCATTGATTAGATAATAAGATGGTTATGATCAGAAATGATTCATCATGTAGAGATCTTACAACAGTTTTACTTGACTAAATACATTCAATCATCCTCTATAACAAGAATAAGAATCTGAATCGAAATAAGACGTACTGAAGAGTAGGAACAATTCCAGATGGATGCTTAGTAAGATCAACTGGTTGGCTACCCTCCAACATTTGATCTGCCATGGATTCCTTTTCTTATGCCAAATCGTCCCACACCTCTTCAATCAAAAACAAAATCAAACTCAAACTCTTGAAATACCCATGAATAAAGAACTAACTAAACAATCGTTTGACTTCGTTTTACAATAATTATTTCATGAAATTGATCCACGAATTAGGTTTTACGAATCTGGGAACAAGATGACGAGCTTCAAGATCAACTGAAAACCATTTATAGGTCTAGAAAACTTGAATTTCATAAGAATGGAAAGAACCTAAGAAATGATATGCGAGATCTCACTCACTTGGGGTTTCTTGAAATTCTCAACGGATAGCTAAATGAATACGAGAATAGGAGCGAAATTGGTGAAAATTGAGCAAAAAGGTTGTAGAATTAGCGGTGAAATTTTGAAAAGGGGATGTTTTATAGGAAGAGATGATGATTTATAGGTTTTTGTAGAGAGTGATACTCTTGTATGAGAAGAGAGGAGAGGAGAGGAGGCGTGTTGTTTGTGGGAGTAGATCTGGAGGGGTGGAGAGCCGGGTGAGAGGAGTAATGGGCTGATTAAATTTGGGTATTTATTGCGTACCCAAAATACCCTTCTTAATATCTGTTGTCGACTGTGTGTTATGGGTATATTTGTAACTTTGCTGGTTGTATAGAAGGAAACTTTCCCGTGACAGGCTTGTGAGGTAATCATTGGTGAAGTACTATTTATCGTCCTAATGCGTGGCCGTGGGTCTGAACACTCCGAATTCTTAAGTCAACTACGACTGGGCCGAAGTTATGGATCCAATCACTTTGAGCTCCATTAACATTGAGTCTAGTTGGGCCAAAGGAAAACTTAACCAACTAACCATTTTACCAAAGACTATTCCATAGGTAATAATCGTGAGAATGAGAATTGTATAAATTTTGTTAAATTTGAAGATATGAATTTATTTATTTGTAGAAGCTTTTCGAATATGCAAGTAACACAGAAGCATAATAAGATTTTTGTGAAGGTGTGAAGAAAAAGCGGTTGTATTTGGAGAAAATGTTTTCTATTAAACGTGTGTTAAGTAAGTATTTAAAAAAAAAATTTAAACTGTTAATAACTATGTTTATTAAAATAATAATTTTTTATCATTGATAAGGATTGTTTTTGTGTCTAACTTTTGCTTATGATTATTAGGAAGAATGCAAAGGAAGGAGCGACTTTAGAATTAAACTTCTTCTATTTGAGTTTTTATGCGGTGTTTTGTAGCTTTCATAACCCTTTAATTTTCACTGATACAAAGTTTTAAGAAAATGAAAACATTTTTTATTCTATTGTGAATCATTCGTTTGGCAGTAGGAATGATAAACGTGCTATTAACTGGATTGATCGGCTACAAAATCCGGTTAATGCTACATCCATCCATTTGCAATTGTTTTTTCTTCTTCTAGCTCCTTAATAGTTTCAGTTTAATAAAACTTCAGTTGTTCAAAAAAATATGGCTGTAGGAGATTTTCTTGAACTTTAATAAAAGATCTTTGGGGTTCCTTTCAGGAGACGATGTGAGTGGATCTGTTTTTGAAATTTTGGTTTTTAACATATCCCACGTCGGATGGAAGTTGGAAAAGAAAGGAAGTGACAAGGGTTATAAAAGTGAATGATAAAAACCTTTCTCCAATGTTACTTTAGCGCTCGACCCATAAAAGAAACAGAATGGACAGATAAATCCTTAATCTTTGAAATTTTAAAACTTTAAAATACAATTAACGAGTACTCTACGACTATTGATTCTAAAACATCACAAGTTATATAAGGCTTGGGAGTTGAATTTAACTTCTTAATTGATTTTTATAAATCAGTCTTCAATTTGACTAGAAGGGCTTCTTTGAAATTACAGTGAATAACTCTTGAGTTCGTTGTCGTCGGGAACCAATTCCATCGAGTTCTACTTGTTTCAAGTTCTAAAGAACGGTTTTAGTTGGGTCCATGACAGCAGCTTCATATGTTCTAGGAACCATTGGGATCACTTACATTGAATTTTTTTCAGGTACCCACCATTTTTTATTAATTGTGATTTTGCACCAAATATTGCTTTTGAGAGATATATAGATTCACATTCCTACATAATAAACCAAAATGCATTTAGCACGCTACAAGATTGTGCATCCATCGAAAACAAAATCCTTCAAGCTAGACGTGATTAATTATTCGATGGCGTTATCAAGATTCAGATACCAAAAGTCAACTGTGAATTTCTGTTATATCCTTAGCTGAAAAAAAAATGATAATATCTTGAGCAACGTAGACATGTACCTTGAAGTTGAAAGTTAGGATGCAATTTTCGCGATCAAGTACGTAAAACATGAATCAATGAACGATATTAACATGAGGAGCAATTGTGGAATTGATGATTGACTGATTTTGCGACCAAATAACATAGTAATTAATTATCCACATGCATCGCGATTGGCATACAAAAATTGCCCTGATGCATCTTTTCTCTCGGTTTCGCGCCACGTGTTTGATAAAAAGCCTGAGAGAGATCAGAAGAGGTTTCATGGACGTCATTAACATAACGTGGTGGTGGATAATGAGAGTCCCCTCAAGAGTTTTAGCTTCTTTGAGAAGATTGTAATGGAGTAATTCGAATTAAATGGTCTGTTGTTAGAGCTGACGCTGTTCATTCCTGATGAAATGGATGATAGAGCGGTTTGTTTTTCTTTTGTTTCTTTCATTTAAATGACATGTTTACACCAAAAATTTCAAGACTTAGATTTTCACACTGCATTGTGCATTTCCTTCTACAATCTGTTAAAGACATAACATGTGATTTACTTGCTTTATGATCATCAGTTTCTTTTTGGTGAGTGGAATAGGTTGTTAAGTGGTTATACTAGAGACTAGAGATGATAGTATCCCGTATAAAAAGAGCAACAATAACGGGTCACCTATTCACATTCACATTGCCCAAAAGTTGCTTACAATCTTTCTTTTCATCAACTTTGTTTCTTTTACTTTTACTTTTCTTCTAACTTGTCAATTTTCACTTTCATGGTGGCCAATTTGCATTCGCAATGACATATATAAACTCTATAGCAGTTGAAATGCCTTCAATCTTTTGAGTCACTGTTGGTATTCAATGGGACAAAATTTCGCATTTCACTGAGAAACTGACATGCAGGTTAGATATTCTAGTTGCAATAAAGCAAATCAACCGTTTTAATTAGCAACCATTAGGTTATTTTATTATTATTTTTTTTTTCAAACCATGCACACTTTTTTAACACCGAGACATGGTTTGTTTAGTCTTTAGAGAAGAATATACTTAGATTATTCGATTACACAAGGTCGTTATTATTGCCTTATTGAAAACTTTTATTTGACATTAATTGATATATTTTAACAATTTATAATGTTGCTGACATAAAGAAAAAGAAACGTCATAAGGTACACATCCCTTTCCATCCAGTATTTTTGGAACAGGTAATTGTGATCACATGTACGTCACAGATAAAATATATTAAAAAAAGTGTCCACTTACAAAAGTGGGATGTATACGTCTATCAAACATGACGAATGACTATACCTGATCTTTTATTTTCTTTCGTTATTGTTATCTTATTACTAGAATTCGATGATCAATAAATACATCAAGGGTAAGTTTTAGAGAGACCCCCTCTATAGTTTCTGTCTTTATTTCATATCCTCTAGTAATTAGGCAGTCGGTAGGATGGAAAAGACTATTTTACCCCTCACCCCACTCGCACACGCACACACAAACTTTGTTCAATAGTTTTTTTGAAACTTAAGTTCTGTCGTAGTTACTTTGTATGAAAATAAGTTTGATGAACCCCATAAAATGAAGAATGAAGAACACAAAACATATATACGAAAGTGTAAAAAGAAAACCAATAGATATATAAACTGATTCTATGTTTTTAAGTAGATTTAATCATACGAAAACCAAAGTTTGAGAACAATTCGGAATGTTTACACACGCGATATATCCTAAAATAATATTCATGACTGATAAGTCATGAATACATGGTATCCATGAGGACCATGCCTAATTAATCAAAGAGCTAAAGGAACTCAACCTTGATTAAGAGAAAAGAAACAAGCGCATGATGTAAAGTTTCTCAGAGAGCATAGAAGTCAAGGAGAGAGATGAAGAAGATGGACTTAATTACCACCACCACCATCACCACCATATGGTGGTGGTGGTGGTGGTGGTTGAGGGGGAGAGAATCTCAACTGGTGGGGTAGTAGCAGTGGTGGTTGTGCTTGAGGTGATGAAGAGACATGGATCAGACATGTAGAGAAGAAAGAAAGACCAACCACCACCATGGTTTATACTTTATAGCTTTAAGTTTGTGTCTTTGTGAGCACCATGATCACCTCACACAAGCATGCCCAACATTAAAGGAGCACCTACTTGCAATAAAATAAAAAAATGAGGGTGGAAATTGAAATTCGAACAGATCTGAGGGGAGATCACTGTACTTTTACAAAACATAAAAGGACCTTGTAGTTCCAATCACATAGAAAAGACAAGTCTGTCTTTCTCTTCTAGTTTTTCTTAAAGAAATGATTGAATAAATTGATACTTTTATTTAATTAGAACTCTCAACATCCACCATTAATTTTCAACTAATAAGACAATTCTCTTGTTCCATGATTAATTTCTTTGTTTAATTTTTCATTCAAAAAACATGAGTCTCGGTGTTCATACGTAATTACGTACTGTTAATTCCACCAATAACCTTCACAACAACAAAAATCATGATAAAAAGTTATTAATCTTGATCTTATAAAGGAAATAAAGCTATGGATCGAGTGCATGCTTTGTGCATGATGTATGAAGATAAAATTAATTAGTTGAAGATTTCTTTAAGAATTATACAAGTAATCCCCCACTAAACCCAAACCAAGAAAAAGGACACTTTTTTCAGAACTCATGTGAACCATTCAAATTATCATGTCTGGCCACATGCTCCACAATCACATAAAGTATACTCTTAATTAATTTTCCCTTCTTTGATAATTCAATCAAAGATCTTGAAAGTGAAATAGCAAACCATGACATGAGATTTCATCATCATTTTCCCCTCTTATTATATTTCTAGATCTTAAATTAATTCCTCGTATTTTCGAAAAATCGTTTTTACTGTTGTAACCTGAAAAACACTGAAAAACAAACAACTGATATATAGTGAGGAAAATTAATTTTGAGGAACTTGTATCAAACATAGTCTCGGTCCATTCATTGCTTCAATTTCGTTTGTTCATTTTTATATTTAATACTAGTTGTGACACTCATGTATTATATGAGGTTTTTATAAAAAAATAAACATTCATGAAGATCTAACAATTTCTAAAATTTAAATTTATAAGAAAAAAAATATTAATTATTAAAATTGAAGTGCTTATTTATCTTTTAAATTTAAACTAATAACTTAAATAAATGAAAAACTAAAATAATTGGATTCAATTTAGAAATATAGAAATTATAAAGAAAGTTGCATTAATGAATTGAATATACATTTATTATTACATTTATTATATTTAAGTATTATATGAAA